GATAGTAGTTACGCCTACAGTAAGGCACACACACACACACACACACAAACACACGCACACATGTGCCAAGCCGCGCATCCTTGCGGGAGAATTTCCTTTTTGCTCGCCGCTCTGGCTTTGTGTGTCTGTGTGAATGTAAATGTTAAGCGGATAAAAGACGCGTTATAAAGCAAAAGCCAATGACTGTTGTGGAATTCCGGTTTGCCGTTGGTGCCGTTGGCAGCGAACAACTCCCTTTTCGTCGCTTAATCCGGCATAATAATGACAAAATTAATTTCAATTCAGTCAACGTTTACGCCGGAAATGAGGAAAACTTTCGGTTTCGAAAATTTATTTGCATTTTAGTATTGTTGCGATGGCTTTTCATGGCAGTTGTTTTCCACGTAATTAAAAGCCAGGCGGCGGGTAATTGAATTTGTTACTTGTGCTACGATTCGGCGGAAATCAAAAAGTTGAGCCGGTTAAAAGCAAGCAGGCATGAGTTACGAGTACATACATATGTACTAAAATCACTTATGGAAATTACCTGAAAATGTGAAGTTTATTTTACCCAAATAAAGGTATACGAAAAGAATGGTGTGATGGCAAATAAAACGTATTTATTTTCAAGGTGAAATTTCACGAGAAAAAAACTGTGTGTGCGCAACTGAAGTGAAACTTCTTCTTCCTCTATTTTCCATATTACTAGATATATTACTAGTTAACAAGAATGGCGTTAAAACGCCAAAATTGCATTTAAAATTTTAAAGAACTGGCAACTCTATTCAAAAACCTAAAAAAATACAATATAATAAGCGATCCGTCTGCCAAATTTCATCAAAATCCGCCCTGCCGCTCCTCAGTGGACAAAAGTCTCGCATGGTTAGGTTTCTCTAGTTTCAAATCACCATCTACCGACAAAAAGAGTTCTAACTTCAAAAAAAGAAAACGTTATTTCATATCTGCGGGTCAAGCTCTTTAATTTTACATTAATTTTAGGAAATTTGAACGAACGGTGCAGATCTATTGACCTTCACAAAAAATGCCTTCGCGTATTATATATACACACAGTTACATAGATAGGAGTTTTCGAATAGGTGGCAACCCTAATCAACTGCATTTGCAAACTAAAGCTTTCATAATACTCTTTCACTGGATACTCATATTTAAATATATCATGTGCATATCACATATAAAAGTTAATTAAACTCGACTTTTCAAACAGGTGGCAACCCTTTTCAAAAGTATTTCTAAACCTAAATCTTCATAAAACTCTTACGTTTGACATTTTTATATTCAAATTAAATTTATTGATGAACTAAGTTGAATTTAATTTTTCAAATACGTGGCAACCTTTCTGAATACAGTTCAGAAATAAATCTTTTCCAAACCCATTTCTATTGATACCCATCTTATAATAATAATTAATTTTACTTAATAAATATTTGGAATTTAACTTTTTAATCTTCATATAAAAGTTTATGAGTAGCGTTAATTTCTTCATGATCCAACCCCAATTAGAATTGGACTATAGAAATCGGTTGACGTGGTCCAAAGTTATGCGGTAACATACCAAAAGAAAAAAAAACATTCCGACGAATTGATAACCTCGTCCTTTTTTTTAGGGCGGTTAAAAAGAGAAAAATTAATGAGCTAAATTGTTATACATTTTTTATTAACTATATTTTAACATTTCTAATAAAATATACATTATAAAAAATCTCTTTTCTCTCTGTTGCCGGCTCGGTCACGGTTGCCGCTTTGGTAAAATCTTAAAAAAATTGGCGACTTTTATTATTTTTGGTAACTCCGGATTTCATATGGTAACTTTCAGACTAAGTGTCTAAAAACCTTAAAATATTTAATTTACAATATCTGCTGCAAAGTTACTAAGACGTAGCAAAGTTCTTACGGAATGAATTTTTTTTTGATGATACATACGAAATTGTGAGTTCACTGGAGTGAGCGGCAGTAATTGGCGACGAAGGTTTTCTTCCACTACAAATTTGCCAACGAGTTTTTACGCTTCCCTACTTCTCTGCTGCAGTGGACGTCGCAAGTATTTATTGCCTTCTTATCTTGCCCCGTCCATTGCATCTCTTCGGAGGCTGTGAGGTTTGCATTTGTTCTAGTTGGGATATTAACCGGCCGGTCCGAGGCACCTTCTCGGAGAGGGAATTTAAGTGGCTCGTCTCAAACCTTGCGTACAGTCAAATTCTGTGGCTTGGAAATGGTAGGGGTACATTAACAAAGCGAGCCGTTTGTTCCCAGACAGGCACTTACTTGCAGGCGCACCTGAAGGTAAACAGACGCTTCAGTCTTCGGTGGGCCCTTAAATATTCGGTCAGATTAGTTTTACTCGAATTAGTGGCCGTATGTCGCACATGGGCTTCTCACGTTGCCCAGGTTGCACAAAAGCGGTTGTAGGAGTACGAATTGAGTATAGTTGGGTAACTGTAAGTGAATAGCCAGATGCTCCACTATACTCTATTGTTAAACTTAAGTGCTTAAACTAGTAAAAAAGTAACCAGATCAAAGATGGGCTCACCCACCCCTTGCCTGCAGCCATAGCTAAATAAAGACACACAATTATAAGATTTTTCTTTGATACAGCACAATACATACCTAAACGACCACCCAAGTAAGCTGCTTACGGTTTTTAAGTCTATAATTATAAACATATCGAGCCCTAACCGCCAAATTAACGTAAGAGACATTTTTTTCAAAATTTTATTTTTGATGCAGAAATGCATCTAGATTCTCTAGGAATATTTCTGCATCAAAAAGAAGATTTTGAAAAAAATGGCGTTTACGTTATTTTGGCGGTTAGGGCTCGATATTTTGGTCAGATTTATATATTGAATTCTTCATATGTGTATAATTTCTTTGTTGTTGTTGTTTTTTTCTTTTTAGATATAATCATCGCATACAAGTACTCGATCCACAAGGACGCTTTTTGCGCGCATTTGGCTCACAAGGCACCACCGATGGCAAATTCAATTATCCCTGGGGCATAGCAACCGATTCATTGGGTTTCATTTATGTTTGTGACAAAGAAAACCATCGTGTGCAGGTGAGTAAATAGGCTTATTGCTTGTGTACATATTTGTACAATCTATTTGTACAAGCTTAAGTAAATATTTAAGTAAACACTTAATGCCAACATACGAGTATACACACGTACGTACGCACCTATGTATACAAATTTGCATAAAATACTCTTACAAACGCTTTTACGTTTATGTGGGTTAACACAGTTTATCTGAATTGAAATAATAGTAATTGAAAAAAAATAATTACATTTTATTAAATTTCGAGCGAAATCCAAAGATTTAAAATTAATATCAAATTCTATGCTTTCACACTCTTACTCATACAATCTCCGATTGTATTGTGTATATGTAAATATTTGCAATTAATCACTGCAACTGTCTTCTTGTTACACATCATTGCAGCCTGCCTTTTTCCTTTGATTGGTAGGATTGTCGTTTGGTTTCTTACTTGACAGTCCATTTGGCTATGCCAATTCAATCGCTGCCAATCAATCCTTTCAGTAGGCAATCGAATAAAGTAAAAGATGGGCTGCTACGGTTATCAATGGCTAGAGCAGCAATGAAAAGTAGGAATTACAAAAGGAAGCAACGAGTAAAATATCTGTGGTTTTTCTCTTATTTTTTTATTTCTTTGCAAAATTTTGTAAAGTGATATAAATACATACGTATTTATATACATTAGGGTGGGTCAATGTTTTTTTACTAAAATCAATTTTGAGTTTGCCAAATCGCGAAAATAGGTTTGGAAGGAAATGTAAAAAGTTTCAATATTGCGCCCTCTGGTGGAAGTTTTATGAAAAAGATAAGTGCAGAAATGGATTCCCCATAACGAAGAACTACATGGAGCATGTTTTTACACAAATTGAGGCACTTCTTCATGGCACTACAGCAAAATGCTAAGACATCTATTTTCGAAATTTGGCAAACTCCAAATTGATTTTAGACCCATGGTTTCTTCGGCAAATTTGCTTAAAATTACATGTAGAATTTTTCTGTGCTCTACGCGCATATTCGAAATAATCTCACATACAAATTGACCCGCCCTAATGTACATACAATTGTAGCAGCACAAATGCATACACACATATGTGTACTTTTGTTAATCTTCTCAACATTTAAAATCTCCTGGATTTTAAATTAATTTCGCATCTCTAAGCGGTACGAAAATTTTACATAACTACCGAAGTGTATTGGAAAACAGCACTTATTTCCTACTGACTGTTGAAGGCATTGATCGCGGAACTGCGTTTCATGGCATTTTTACGTATTGAATATTGTAGTGAATTTGCGGTCCTTTACCTCAAATACTGCTGGGTAGTGCCTACATACATACATCTACATACATACTAATGCTATTGCCTACTTTACGACGTGGCGTATACGTAACTTAACCGACGTCATACAGCCATTGCCTCCACTCTAAACAACTTTCTTCTTACAGGTGTTTCAATCAGACGGCACCTTCGTTGGTAAATTTGGAAAACTCGGTCCCTTGGAAGGAGAACTAGAACATCCACACTACATCGCTGTTTCGAATACGAATCGTGTTATTGTATCCGATTCCAATAATCATCGAATTCAGGTGAGGAAATATTTAATTCAAGTATTAAGAGAAACTTAACTTTTTACATAAAAAACATATCGCTAGCTAAGAGTGAAAAGTGTTTTGAAAAAATTTGAAATTTTTTTAGTGTAAAATGTCCCTGTACTTGTTTGTAGGTTTGTGTCATTGGAAATGTAGTTTTCTAAATACCTCTCTCCTTTAAGAAGTCCCACCAGTAATTAACAGCAAGCGCGTTCAAGTAATTCTGCTCTTCATCATACCATTTTGTTTTTGGACAGCCTTGGTGGAAAGATATTTTATCCCGGAGTAGCAGCACTCCTACTTAGGAACTCACCAAGTTTTATTTTTATGTATTTGGATAATTGTTCTTTTGAATCAAAGGTATAGCTAAAAAACCTTCTCATTTCTGTTCGACATCATTTCCGTAGCAATAATGAGACTTAAGAACAACAAAACCTCGCGAAGGAATATCGACTAAGCTCCCGCGGCGGCAAAGAGCGCATAGGACACATAATTTGATGAATAAGTAAATGCCGCGAAATCAGAATTTCAGTTTACGTTGCTAAATTCGAAAGAAGGCAGATCCTGCTGTTTGAGCCAATTACAGCGAGATAAGACTACCCAACATTAATTATATGACGCTAGCAACGATATTGTACGAAAGGCTGAGTCGCGTAGTGAACCAACTAATTGGATCTTATCGATTGGATCTTTTGAGCAAAAGTGGTTCAACAGAGTACCTTCTGGCAACACACAAAGGGTTTGCCGCATATTGGGCTACGTATAACAGTTAACTAATGGCGATTTCGTTTCCACAAAGAATGTTGCCTTATCATCGCAAAATGTGGAGCCCAACGCGTCCTGTATCCGTAGTAGTACACGGAACATGGGAGGACGCTCAAAAGAGCCAGATATAATCCAATAGATGTTTTTCTGAACAGCCTAAGGTAGGAGTGACTTCTTAAGGATTAGTTGAATAGATATAGCTCCTAGCAAGTATGCTAGTATGCCCTAATAACAACAATAACAAGAGCTTCTTTGGGCACAAATATGATAATGTCTTGATGACTTTCGAGAGAACTTTCAACGTAGGATATATTATATCATTCGCGTGGGCGACGGGTACCGAAGAAGATGGGATGATGAACTTTACGAGCTTTATAATAACAATTTTGCGCATAGACGGCAACACGCCGGTGAAAAAAATCCTTCAAAATGAGTGATAAAGGAAAGCAAGGGAGCCCGCGAACACTACAGAACTAACGGATTGTTCTCGGAAAGAACAGCTGGTGCAATTTCGAAAAGGAGAGCGGCAATTGGCTAAGTTTATTTTGAACTCGGCCCAAGCAAACAAACAGTTCAAGCTCTTAACATAAAAAAAAGAAGCAAAATATATGAGAACAAATTTTGCACATCGATATCTATGTATGTATATAGAGAAATTCATAGGCATCGATGCAGCGGTTTGTTTCGATAAATAAATTTTATCATAGTAGGGGAAACGCAATTAATAGATGTTTTTTTTTTTTAATACATACTCTCATAGAAATTCTTCAGGTACTGATTAGAAGGTATAATTTGACATTTAATTAAATTTTAATTCGCAGATTTTCGACGTCAATGGAAAAGTTTTGAAAACAATCGGTTCCGAGGGCTCTGATGACGGACAGCTAAAGTTCCCACGGTAAGAAAAAATAAGAATATTTTGGATGGTAAAATATTATTAGAGCTTAAAGGCGGAACATATGTATGTCTGTGGTAATGTCACAATCAATGCAGAAGTTCTTAATTGAAGTTAAGTTTGAAGCAAGATGTATTCAAAATTTTCCGAAGTCTACCACTTACACGCTTTCGTGTCCATCCATGGTCCGATTGACGACAGGTCACTCGGTCGGTAAGACGGAAGGTGGCCACGCACGGTGGGTCCCGTCTCGTTAAAGATGCCAATAAAATTTTAATTTTTTCACATTTGCTTAGAATTATTGTATAGGGGCGAGATCTGTACTCGCCTTTATACTTTATCGGAAGTTGTGCGGCATTCTTCGGGCTCAAGTTGTGTGCAATAGCACACTCACGTTATTACTGAGCGCATGTAACTGTATTATAACCACTAATTGTTCATACGGGTGGTGCGATTAGGTTTCGTGAATCATTAAGCAATATGTATGTACATATGTATGTATATATGTATTTAATATGCTTTTCCTCTCATCTTTTTTAGGGGCATTGCTGTGGATGATCAAGGATATATTGTTATTGCCGATGCTGGTAATAATCGGATACAGATTTTCAATCCGGACGGCACATTCTTGAAGGCCTTCGGTTCATGGGGTTCTGGACGTTCAGAATTCAAAGGACTCGAAGGTGTTGGTATTATGTCGAATGGAAATATATTGGTATGCGACCGTGAGAATCATCGTGTACAAGTCTTCTAAATAACGACCATGAACAATCATTAGAAAAATAAATTAAAAAATTCTAATTACAATTATATAAATATACACATATGTTTGCACACTCAAAATAATTAAAATGAATGTAAATGCTTGATATATTTATTCAGTTTTATAAATGAAATGCCAATCGCATCGCAGGAAAATAGTTTGTGTTTTTGTCCTATTTGTTTATTAATACGAATATGAATTCATATTTATGCGTAATTATACAGAAAATTTGATTTTTATTAATTTGTTATCGATATTCATTTGTAGTAGTTACATATATGCATCAACTAAAAATAGCGAAATAGAATAACATTTTTT